CTAGGCTTGGATCTTCTGCCCTAATGATTGGTGTGTATTTGTGCGTGTTCTTATGTGTCATGTGTGTGGATGTGCTTGCTCTTCTGTGTGCACCTCTAGGGGACTCTTTCTCTGTCACTGTCCACTTTATTTTTTGAGACACTGGGGATCCAAGCTCAGGTCCTCACGCTTGTGTGGCAAGCACTTTAACTTACTGGACCATCTCCCCAGTCCATTCACCCTGATCTTCATTGTTTCATTATATCTATTGCTTTTATAAAAACTTTATTTTTATTTGTATGTGTCAGTATGAGTGTATGCCACATATGTGTGGATGCCCATGGGGACCAGAGGAGGGCACAGATCCCCTAGAACTAGAGCTATTGGCAATTGTGAGCCACCCAACGTAGGTGCTGGGATCCGAACTCTGGTCTTCTGCAAGAGTAGCAAGCACTTTCAACCTCCGAGCATCTCTCCAGACCTCTGTCTACTGTTTCTGAGTTTAGTTTGTTCTTATTTTTTCTAAGATCCTGAGGTATATAATTAAGTTACTTGAAATTTACTTATTTGAAATTTCTCTAATTTTTTAACGTAAGCTATATTTTTTCACAGCTATAAACTTTATTTTCAGAGCTACTTTAACCATGCTCCAGGGCTTCTGGTAAGTCATTTTCATTTCACTTACAGTCTTCCTCCCTGATTTCTTCATGATTCAATGATTATTCAAAAGCATATTGTTTGGGGACTGGAGAGATGCCTCAGTGGTTAAGAACACTGGCTGCTCTTGTAGAAGACCTGGGTTGAATTCCCAGCACCCACATGGAGGCTAAGAACTGCCTATAACTCCAGTTCCAAGGGATCCAACATCCTTTCTAGCCTGAGTGGGCATTGCATGACATAGATCCACTTATATACACACATGGTAAATACTCATACATACACATAAAACAAAAAATATTAAAAAAATAAAACAAGACACTTTTATTTGTTCAGAATGCTTATTTCTAAAGTTAGCTGAGGTTAAAAAAAGATTTCTATTTCAATGCCTTTGTTAACATTCAAAAGCTTAAAGTCCATATTAAGAATTTATAAAAATGAACCTGCCATCGCTCTTTCCTGATATTTGGGTAACAATATGTACACCACACCACGACAGCTGCTCTTTATCAGACTACAGTTTCCCAATATCATCAGGGAGTACAGAAGTAACAATGTTATGTTCCTTTTTTTAAGTCTAGATTTTAGTTTCTAAAATTCATAAATTAAAAATTATTCACACAAATTAAAAAATTTTTTCTCATGTCTGCTAAAGCACTTTTCTCTATGAAATTTTACAATTCTTGATCTTTTCTCTGAAACATGAAAAAGACATGGACTCTCCTGAGTTACATACGAAGTTTATATATTCTTTAAAAGCATTAATGCTTTAAATATACAAATTATATATCGATAATACAAGTTTTTTACTATTCACATCATTATTTAAGCAATATTCAGGTATATTTGTGCCCTGTATGTTTACATTACTTTAGAATTTATTTTTACCTTCCAATAAAACTTTATCTATAAACATTTCTCAATTACTTAACAAATGAGACAAAAACAGTTGTTATGAAAATAGAAACTGCTACTTCAGCTTTCGCATCTTTCAGCCTTTGCATTTCCTATCAGCCAAGCAATCTCCTGTTCTTCAGGGCGGCTGACAGATTTCTCCGTTGTGATCCAGCACTGCCCAGCCTGTAGCACTGACCATCTGAAAAGTGCTCACTCTGCCATACCAGCTCCAGCAGTGGACTCGGACAGCACTGGAATTCATCATTTCCAGTCATTCCAACTGCAGGACCACCTTATTAGCTGCTTCCAAGGAACTGATTAGATTCTGCAGCTCCTCTTTACTCATTTCAACAGAATATGGTTTTACATCACCATCTTCTTTTACATCCAGGCGACGGTTTAAAAGTGGCATTGCGGTTAAGAACACTGGTTGTTCTTGCAGAAGACCCGAGTTCAAATCCCAGCACCCACATGGCAGCTAACAACTGTCCGTAACTCCAGTTCCAGGGGATCTGACAGCCTCTTCTGACCTTCACGGGCATTGCACGACACGGGTGCACTTGCCTACATACAGACAATACACGCATACACATAAAAAAAAATTAGAAAGTGTCATTTGTAAAGTAGCAATCTTGTCACTAGCAAGTCCAAGCTTTCACTGCTGTGCTGGATGCTTTAGTGTCAACTTGACACACTTGGGTTGAGGGAGCCTCAATTGGGGAATTTCCTCCATTGAACTGGCCTGTGGCCATGTCTGTGGGGCATCTTCTTAATTGTGTGATGTGGGAAAGCCCAGCCAACTGTGGGTGGTGCCACCCCTGGGCAGGTGGGCCTGTGTTACATAAGAAAGCAGGCTGATCATGGGCCTGCAGGAGAGCAAGCCGGTAAGCAGCGTTCCTCCATGGCCTGTGCTCCAGCTCTTGCCTCCACATTCTTGCCCTGAGTTCCTACCTTGGGCTCCCTGATGAACTGTGACCCAAGAGATGTAATACAAATAAACCCTTTCCTTCCCAAGTTGGTAGTGGTCAGAGTGTTTTGTCACAATAATGGAGAAACAAACTTTAACTGCCAATCAAAATCCTGTAGCTGTGCACAAGAAATATCAACTGTTTCTCCTAAGAGAGCCTGCTTGATTTCTTCTTTCCTACTTTTCAAGCATTTCATAATAGCTTCTTGATGAAATGATAGATGACTCAACTGCTGAAGTAGCTCTTAGAAAAATTTTTGCTAACTACAGCTTTGAAAAATTTGGTAACATCTTCTAGAGCATGCTTCCATTCAGTTGAATTCCAAACACTTTGGTAATCCTGGTAGAGAGGATAAGCCCAAACACAGATGCTATCAGTTATTGTGTGAAGAAGCCCACGGGCGACTCTGGGACTGTGGGAACAGCAGGGCCGCACGGGGCTTGGGGAAAGCCCCCGCACTGATGTGGTACTGCCAGCTCCAGCCTCTCTGGTTCTGTCCTAGACTGCCACCCTGATGCCCGTCCATCCTCCATGCACAGGGACCCCCCTCACCATGGGCCCTAAATAAATATTTTTTAACAGTATATTGTTCAGTCTCCAATTATTTCTATAGTTTGTTTTTTAAATTATTACTGAAATTTTATTTTATTCCATTATGACCTGATAAGGTATAAGAAATTATTTCACTACTTTTGTATTTGTGACTTGCTATGTGTCCTAAAATGTCACTGATTTTAGACAAAGTACCATGGGCTGCTAAGAAGAATGTGTGTTCAGCAGCTGTGAGGTGTCAAGTTCTTTTGATCTATGTAGCAAATTAATTCTCAAGTTCTGAATTTTTAGTCTGGATGACCCATTGGTTGGTGAAATAGGATGCTGGGCTCACCAACTATTATTGTGTCAGGACCTATCTGTATTTTTATGTTCACAGTGTTTGTCTTAAGAAATTGGCAGGAAAGATTTCTTGAAGAAAGAATTGGCTGGAGTCTTCAAGGTTGAAAAACACAGGGTTTGGTGGAATGCTTGCTGTACAGTGTGAGGATGTGAGTTTGGGTCCCTAGTGCCACGCCCTAGCTAAGCATGGCAGTGGGCACCCATAATCCCAGGGCTGGGGCAGGGGGTTGAGCCGGGACCCTCCTTGACAGCTTGCTGGCCAGTCAGTCTAGCCAACCAGTGAGCTCCAGACTCAGTGAGAGACAGAGACTCTGTTCAGAAAATAAAGTGGAAAATGATTGAGGAAGATACCCAATCTCAACTTCTGGCCTCCGCACATGCTTGTCCATTTACACCACCAAATGTACACATGCCCATATGGGAATACACACATATATGCTGTACTAATCATCGCAGCTGGGCTTTCTGACTGTTGATGTCCTTTCATAAGAGGTGGGACTGGGAGGGCCATAGGACCCTTACTGGAGAAGCCTGCCACTCCTCTCAACTCTTTGTAGGCAACTGGGCCCTAATTGCATCTGGCCTTAGAGAAGGGCTAAAGCACATAGGCCAGAGAAGACTAAGGGAGGGGGTTTCTCTTTATGCAACTGGGGAAGCCCATATTCATGCTGGATGAAGACTTTCTGGTATGGCCTTGCGGTCAAGAGCACCCACACTCCTGTCAGTAATCCCTCACCCATTGATCTGTAAGTAAATACAATAAACCCAGTCGTTTCCCAGGGTGAACTTTGGTGGAATTATACCTTGGATTGTCGTTGGGACCTTGGGAAAAGGAGTGGACCTTATTTGCATCTTCCCCAGGGAAGAAGTTTTAGCAACAATACACACACAGACACATGTGCACACACCCTTGGACATACACACATGAAAGCATAAAAACAGCCACTAAGTGACAGAGTATCTTATAGGATAGTGGGAAGAATCAGAGTGGATCAAACAGAAACTACAAGCAGTCCAGTGTCTCTACAGAGTACATTGTGAGACTGGGACTAACGATCAGCTAAGGAGAAAGGGCTAATTATGGTCAGCTTCTGAAGGACATTCTATTGAAGAAAGAACTGGATGAACTTCCTTTCTTTACCTTTTTCTACGACAGGGTCCATGTACTCTAGGCTGGCCGCATCTTGAGCTCCTCCTGTCTAAGCTTCCTGAGTGCCAGGATTACGGGGATATACCACCTTGCCTAATTTTGAATTTCTTTGTATTATTTTGGGACATAAGTTCATGCTTATTTCAGGTCATTTGGAAAATATATGAATGATAGAGAAGAAATCTATTCCGACAAATTCACTGGGGGAAAATACTATCAATACTTTGATATATTATTTAGCACTTTTTCTACTTAGATGAATTCTTGAACAACCTAGCAAGCTTGGAGGTTGATTCTTCCCTGGTCATGTTGCCGACGAGAACACAATCCAGCCAATGCCATGACTGCTGTCCTGTGAGGCTCTGGGTAGGAGACCAGGCATCCTGTGTCAGAGACATGCAGCAATGGAAAAGTTTTATACAAAGCCAAATGTCACAAAAGAAGCAAAACTGGAATCAAAAGAGTCTGCATTTTTTTTAATGTACAGGGAACTCTTACATCCACCAATAATACCACTAATAGATAATGACAAAACAAACACAAAGAAGCAAGCAAAACTCCCAGTGGCTTAAACAACAAAAGTTAATTTCTCAGCTGAGTGTCGTACGCATTGTAGGTTGGTTAGGGACCTTCCATGACGACTTTAGTGTGCAACTTAGAAACTCCAGCAGAGTGCGCAGTTGCAGGACCTCCTTGTGACATGTTTTTGGGGCAGAGGGAAAGAAGGTCTGCAGGGTCTTGCCCTGCAAGAATGTGACACTGCATCTGACACTTGTCAAATTCCTTTCAGCCCAAAGGCACATCAGCTTGTCCCATCTTCCATGTGCTGGAAGGAGGCAGAGTCTGATATTCTCAAACGCCTGTCATGTTGCCAACCCACAGCCTATGTCTTACTCAGTTACTCTATTGACGGTCTAGTCAAAGAAAGACGATGGCATATCTCATTACAGGTTGCATGTTGGTTATTAAAGAAGTAAAAAATTCCTCGTTTTCCAAAATTTGTGGTGACATCTTTCTGATCAATAGAGTGAATCTGAGGGTCTGTAAGGTAGATGATTCCCTTTCCATTACCAGTCACCCAACCTAAAAGAAAATGAACATATCTGAACTAAATATCCCTTAGAAAGGGGCACACACACACAGACACACACGCACACACACACACAGACACACACACGCACACACACACACACATGCACTTAAAGAGATACATTTAAAACTTGAAGAGACTGGAGAGATGGCTGTGTGGTTGAGCACTGGCTGCTCTTGCAGAGGACCTGGGTTTGATTCCCAGCACCCACATGGCAGTAACCATCCTTAACTCCAATTTCAGGGGAATCTGATGCCCTCTTCTGACCTCTTCGGGCATTGTGTGACACAGGTACACTTATATGCGTGCAGGCAATATATATTCATACACATTAAAAATGCTAAATAAAATATTTAAAAAATTTTGGTCATCCTATAGTTTATACTGGTAAGTTTCTGCCAAGAAATTTGAGTTGTATACAAATATCCTAACTATTGCTTTAAGAATCAAGACTGAATACTGCATAATTAAATTTGTCAATTGTGACATAGTTGGACCATGAATTTTGAAGGAATCAGAAAGAATAAGGTACATTCAGAATAATTATTAAAATCTCAATGTTGAGTATTTTTCTCTGTATTTGAAGCTTCTTTACTTCCAGGTTCATTTAGCCATATACTCTACAAACTAGTTTTAAATACTGAATGTACAACAGTGAATAATTGAGCAAAAAAGTTTTACATCTATTGAGCAAACATTCTTGTGAAGGGAAACAGAGTAATCAACTATGAATGAGTAAACTATGAATAAGTGACAGTCAAAAATGCTATGAGGGAAGAACAGAGGCTTGAGGGGCTCATGTAGAATATTTACTAATATGAATTATGATGAATGGAATACCCCCAAACAATCAAAATGTTAACACAGATTTAAGTTCGCAGTTTTCTACTCCTGATTCTGAATATGAAGCTCACTATCAGGATCTCACTAAGGCTTAGGGCTGAAGAGGAGAAAACACAGGAAAGATCTGGAAGAGGAATGCAGTAAGAAACTGATGTTGCTCACATTCGCTCAACTGAGACAGCGCTATGGATTTTCTCTGTAATTGAACCCACAGTACATGAGCCACACCTCCTCACAGATCGGGAGATGCCTAAATCACTCAGGAATCATTTTCTACATGTTGTAAAATCAATTAATTTAATTCCAATCTCTCCCTGTACCCAGAATGATCTATCAAATGTGATTAGTGAAGTCCGTTACTAAAATGTACATTTAAACATTAGCAATATTCAGAATAGAAAGTAGTTTCCTGCTGCACATACCTTGTAAATCAACCACAACGTGTCTCTGCTTAGAGAACTCATAAGAAAAGTGGCTATAAGCCAAGCCATATTCTGTAGCTTTGTATTCTGTTTTTACCACTTTTGTGTTATTTGACAGTTTTACAAATTCTCCCAATATGTAAGGTTCCACACTGATACATCCCTTTATCGTCTTGTCTTCCAGAATCTGAAAAACACAGATGAGAAGCAGCCCCTCAATGGTGAAGGCAGGCCTTTGGGGCAGGGTGGGTCTCAGCTTAGCTGAGCCTCTGCCACATAGACTTACTGCCCTAGACTTCCTTAGGTCACTCTAATAGGAATAGCAACTACTTAGTTTTGTTGAAAAGATTAAATGAATTACCCAGCATTATCTATAGTATATAATAGAACCTAAAGTTATTATTGTTCATTCATATATTAAATTGTTCACAGAAAAAATTGACCTAGCCTGGGGCTGGTTTGCCAGGACAAGTGAATGGATCATGCCTTGGGACTGGAGGTGGGGGGATTGTGTTGGGGGTGGGGGCTGAGGGTCATATTTCTCATATACATTTTTAACAAGATGAAGCTGATGAAGCAGATGAAGGAGACTGGGAATTGAATTTATTAGATCTTCCCAAGACATTGTTGGAGACAGACAGTTTGCAATATAAATCTAATCTATATGAATCTAATCTATATCCATAGACCTGTTCAATTAACAAAACTCTTGTTTTTTGGAGCCTTACCAGTAATACTTTAGATGGGATGTAGAATATCTGTGTTGGAATCTTCTCTTCGTAGAGTCTCTTGTTAAATTCTGTCACATAGTGCTGTGCTGTCATCTGTCGCTCCACATCGCTGAAGTGGAGCTGGAGCCCTTTCTGCTCCTTGTACTCTTTCCCAACGTATCTGTGAATGGGCAGAAGCCACACAACATGTAAAACTGATCTTCTTTACTATAAGAGGAGATAAAGCTATATTGAAAAATGTTTGAGAAAAGTTTCCTATGCCTTATCTTGCCAATATGAATTATCTTAGCTTTAGACTTAAAGGGTTTTGTAAGAACCACTTGTGAAATGAAGCACAGCTCATGCTAGCTGGCCTAGAATAACGAGGAAAAGTGTCCACTCAGTGTAGTGGTTCTTCACACCTCTTTCTTAAACCAGGGATCGTCATGGTGTACTGGAGTATGCATGGACTCTGGAGTCAGATTCCTTACAACTGTAGTGTGGCCTTAGTTAGCTAGTGTGACGCCTTCCTCCATCTCTTCCTTGTATGATTATTTTATTCCTATGAATACTTAATTTCTACCAACACCTATTATGAACGTGCACAAAGTTACATATATAAGTGGCAGGATGAGATGTTATCGTCATGGTGTACTGGAGTATGCATGGACTCTGGAGTCAGATTCCTTACAACTGTAGTGTGGCCTTAGTTAGCTAGTGTGACGCCTTCCTCCATCTCTTCCTTGTATGATTATTTTATTCCTATGAATACTTAATTTCTACCAACACCTATTATGAACGTGCACAAAGTCACATATATAAGTGGCAGGATGAGATGTTATGAGTTGAATTGTATCACTCCAAATTCAAATGTGGGAGTTTTCAGTATTTACACTAGGGAAACAAAACAGCCGTTTCAGATATAGCTAAGATAAAATTATATTGGAATGGGGTGAGCCCTTAACCCAATAGAAGAAATTTGCCCCTTATAAAAAGAAGAAATTTGAAGTGGCCTGCACACAAGGAGAATGCCTTGTGAGGATTATAGTTATGCTAACAGAGGACAAGGAAACCCCACAAATCATGTGAAAGACTTTGTGCCTTAAGAGGAAACATGACCCTTCTGGTTTTTGATCTGGGACTTCAAGTCTTCAGAACTGTGACAGAATCACTTTCTTTAGTGTACTTTATGTTATTCCTAGGAAGTTCACACACCAAGATATTGCAGGAGGCCCTGAGGTGAGAAACATAAGCAGCAAGGACAATGGAATGAGAGGGCTCAACACCCATCTGATCACAAGATCATAGAGAAAATCGAGCAAGATCAATATTCAAGCAGGAACTTCCTAGTAATTTTCCAGAATTGCCAAAAGGCACTAATCTTCAAACACAAGAATCATACTGAATCCTAGAACGGTATAAATGGAAATGGAAGAAACAGGAAGGAAAGAAGGAAGGTGAGAAGGAAGGCAGGCAGGCAGGAAGGAAAAGAAAGGAGGAAGGGAAGGAGAGAGCAAGGGTGGGAGGGGGGAGGAA